GTTTTATTATCAAATCGCTAGTATGATACGCTCGAGGATTGATCTTCTTGTTGAAAGCCTTGATCATATGTTTTTGATACATTTGACCATGACAAACATCAGCCAGTCTCTTCTCATCAATCAAGTTTTGCTGATCCAACCTAGTCTGCACCCATTTGTCTTCACCCAAATACGCCTCTTTCATAATCCTTAGGGAAGGGATTTGAACTTCTATAGGCAAGACAACTTCCATTCCATAGACCAAAGAGAAAGGTGTTGCCTCAGTTGAAGTTCGAGCCGAAGTACGATAGCCGTGAAGAGAAAATGGTAGCATCTCATTCCAGTCTTTGTATGTCACCACCATCTTTGCATAATCTTCATTATGTTTTTATTGGCGGCTTCCACTGCGCCATTCATCTTATGTCTGTATGGAGAAGAGTTGTGATGCTTGATTTTGAACTGTGTGCAGAGTTCAGCAATCATAACATTGTTGAGATTGGTTCCATTGTTAGTGATGATCCTTTCGGGGATACCGTAATGGCAGATGAGGTTATGCTTGACAAACCTGGCTACAACGTTCTTGGTAACTGAGGCATATGATGCAGGTTCGACCCACTTGGTAATGTAATCAATGGAAACAAGGATGAAATGGTGTCCATTGGAAGCAGTAGGTTTGATCTCTCCAATCATGTCAATGCCCCACATTGCAAACAACCACGGAGCGGTCATGAAATTCACAGGAATTGGGGGTACATGGACCTTGTCAGCGTAGATTTGACACTTTTGACAAGTCCTTGAGTGATGATGACAATCAGTTTCCATTGTGGACCAATAGTAACCAGCCCTCAGGATTTTCTTGGCCATAGTGTGCCCACTAGAGTGAGTCCCAAAGATTTCATCATGCATGTGTTCCATAATTTTCTATTCCTCCTTCTTGTCCACACAACAGAGTAGAGTAGAATCGTGATTTCGCTTATACATGATTCCATTTCTTAGGAAGAATTTGGCTGAGAATCTTCGCAAGAATTTCTTATCATTGATAGAAGCTCCTTAAGGATACTCTTGTGCTTCAAGATATCTCCTTACTTCATGGTGTCCTGGTTTCTCTTTGTCAATGTAAAGCTCATAGTAGTGTACAGGTTTATCAAATCTTTCGATTGTAATCATAGGATATTCGTTGTCCCATTTGACCTTGAACATGGAAGACATTGTTGCTAAGGCATCAGCCAACTGATTTTCTTCTCTAGGGAAATGTTCAAAGGGGATCTCCTCGAAGTATGGTATCATGGTTAACACAAGCTCCTTGTAAGGAATAAGGTTAGGATTCTTAGTGTTCCATTCTCCCTTGACTTGACTGATCACTAGGAAAGAATCTCCGAATACGTTCAAGAACTTGATCCTTAAGTCAATGGCAGCCTTTAGACCCAAGATGCACGCTTCGTACTCAGCCATGTTGTTCGTATAATCGAAGCAAAGTCTAGAAGTGAAAGGTGTATGGAAACCTTCGGGAGAAACAATCACAACACCAATTCCATTACCAAAGTGTTGGAAGCCCCATTGAAAACCATAGTCCATCGGGATCCTTGTTCAGGTCCGTCATACGGTCCATGTTTTTCATAGTCAGTTATCAGCATAATATTCTCGTCCGGGAATTCAAAGATCATGGATTGGTAATCATTAACAGCTTTATGTGCCAAATGATCCACCAGCACACTTCCTTTGATTGCTTTTTGTGTAGTGTACTGAATGTCGTATTCAGTCAAAATCATTTGCCATCTAGCTATTCATCCAGAGAGAGTTGGCTTCTCGAAGATGTACTTGATAGGGTCCATCTTAGTAATCAAAAGTGGTATGAGTCAACATATATTGTCTTAGTCAGTGAGCAGCCCATGCCAGAGCGCATAAAGTTTTCTCGAGCAGTGAATATCTTGTTTCATAGTAGGTAAACGTTTTGCTCAGGTAGTATATTGCATGCCCTTTTCGGCCAGACTCGTTATATTGGCCCAACACACACCCCATAGAATTCTATAGCATAGTCAAATATATAATCAGAGGTCTTCCTTCAATTGGAGGCATAAGGATAGGAGGCTCTTGCAAATATTCCTTGATTTTGTCGAAGAAAGCTTGGCAGTCGTCGTTCCATTTGACTACTTGATCTTTCTTCAAGAGTTTGAAGATTGGCTTACAAGTAGCAATTAGGTGAGATATGAAGCGGGAAATGTAGTTAAGACGACCCAAGAATCCTCGAACTTCTTTCTCAGAGTGGGAAACATGCATTTATTGAATGGCTTTAACCTTTTTAGGATCAACTTCAATGCCTTTATCACTGACCACAAAACCTAGAAGTTTTCCAGACCTTACTCTGAAATTGGACTTGTTAGGATTCAACCTTAACTTGTACTTCTTCAACCTTTCAAACAGCTTGTGTAGGTGATCGAGGTGCTCTTCTTCAGTTTGCGACCTTGCAATCATATCATCCACATAGACCTCTATTTCATGATGGATCATATCATGAAATAAAGCTATCATAGCTCTTTGATATGTTGCCCCTGCATTCTTCAATCCGAACGACACGACTTTGTAACAAAAGGTGTCCCATTGTGTAACAAAGGTGGTCTTCTCCATGTCTTCGGGAGCCATCTTGATTTGGTTGTAGCCAGAAAATCTATCCATGAAGGAGAAGACTTTATGTTGAGCGGTGTTGTCAACCAAGACGTCGATATGAGGTAGAAGGATATTATCTTTGGGGATTTCCCTATTTAAATCCCTATAGTCTACACACATACAAACTTTTCCATTCTTCTTCAGCACGGGGACCACATTTGCAACCCATTGAGGATAAGATGTCACAGCTAGGAATCTTGCATCGAATTGCTTTATCACTTCCGCTTTTATCTTTTCAGACATGTCAGGCCGCATCCGACGAACCTTTTGTTTGACAGGAGGGCAATCTTCCTTTGTCGATAGACGATGAACCACAATGTCAGTATCCAACCCTAGCATGTCTTCATACGACCAAGAAAACACTTTAACGTAGTCATGTAGCATCTGGACCAACCTGCTCTTAGTACCGTCTTCTAAGTTGGCGCCGATCTTGACCTCTTTCTTGTCTGTCTCAGTACCTAGGTTGATAATTTTGAATGGCTCTTCATGAGGTTGAATAGCTTTCTCCTCTTGCATTAGAAGTCTTCCTAGTTCATAATATTTCTCACCTTTTTCTCCGGCTTAGTTAATTGGATGTTCGAAGTCATAACTGGAAATAATAAAGTCGTTGGAAATGAGATCCGGAGTGTATGAGGATCTGCAAGTATGTGTGTGTGTGTGTGCATGTAAGATACATGGCTATTTTAAAAATGAAATAAAGAAAAAGAAAGACAATGAGCACAAAATTTGAATGCAAAGGTCCAATGTTTTTTCATTAAATGATCATATGATAAATGAACATGAACAAAACCCTTGACAAATGGCCAATGGTGCCTCGGGCAAGGCACATGGCTTAAAATTCATTGTGTGGAATTAAGATTACAGACAAAAGTTCTTGAATTGACAGAAAACAGTAAACAATAATTACTCCTCATTGAAGGAGATGAGAGTGAAGTTCTTTGCATGCCAGTTGTTGAGCTTTCCTCCGGCAGTAGGATAGATCCATTCTTCAAAAGCACATTCATCGTCAGATTCTTCCACAACATTTACATCGTGATTTCTGATGTGAATAGGTGGCTTTCCCACGCGAGCGCGCCTGACCTCTTTCTGAGCTTTGCTGGTGAAACTCAACCCAAATTTGTCTGCTTTAAACGGAATGTTGGGGAGTTACCCCCAGATAGTACAACTTCCATCTTCGACCACGACACGAGCATCTTTAAGTGAAACCATTCTTGGTACAACTTCATTGACTTTTGATATGTCAGAGGAGACTTTGGTGGCGACAACCATAGGAGGAACAATTTCGAAAGCCTGGCACGAAGTTTTTATAAATTCACCATCCATTTCCACATACTTGAAGGAATTGAGGTGGCTCACCATGAATTCTTCTTCACCACAAACAGTAACAATCTTTTCTTTGACTGGATATTTCAATTTCTGGTGAAGGGTGGATGCCATTGCTGCTGCGCTATGTTTCTAAGGGCGCCCAAGTAAACAAGAGTAAGCGGGATGGATGTCCGTTATATAAAAGGTGGAGTTAAAAATTTGTGATCCTGTTTTAATGGGGAGATCCACCTCTTTATGCACCATCCTTTTAGACCCATCAAAAGCCCTAACAACTATATCACTTGGTTTCAACACCAGGCCTTCGCAATCTAGCCGGTCCAAAGCACCTTTGGGTAACACATTTAGAGATGAGCCGGTATCAACTAAGACATGAGCCATGGTAGCTCCCTTGCATTTAATAGAGACATGCAGAGCCTTGTTATGATTCCTTTTTATGAGATGACCCATAGACCTTTACATAGGAGAATTCTATATCATTGATATCCCTTTTCTATATTTCTTTCACCCCTTCATTTAAATGTATATTCATATTGCTTTACAACTAATAAACTTATTATTTTTATTTCAGTTACTATAATTATATCACCACATAGATCCTTATTTTGATTTTAGATTTTCGGCGGTTCTTTATATCCAGTTAATGGGAAGCGATGAGTAGGTTATTTATTCTTTAGTAATTAATTCGACGAATTTTTGTAGAAAATTAACCACTCTAAAAAAAACCAACGAGTCACACACTAAGCATAACAACTCCTTCATTATAAAATGATTAATTAATTTTTTTATTCAATCTTATAAAAATTTTCATTTCTTCTTTGAGAATAAGAACGTAGTAAGAATTCGTCATTTTTTGTTTTCTCAAAAGATGGAACGTTATAAGGAAAAGGTTATTAGTCGTTGTTTATAAATATCCAAACTTTGATTCCTAAGACCCCATAAATAGTTCAAACTGGATAGGAACAATAATCAATTTTAGCTCGAATGGTTTGTAGAGAAACCCTACCTTCTCTGATCCATTCGACATGTGCAATTTAGTTTCCATCGATGCGTCCCGCAATTTGTATTTGAACTCCTTTTGTACCTTCTTGTTCAGCTAATCCAATAGCTTCTTTCATTGCTTTACGAAACGAAATTCTATTCTTTAATTGTCCGGCTAGAAATTCTGCAAGAATATTCGAGTCTCTATAAACATTTGGAATTCTTGTAATTCCAATGTTGATTTGTCGGTTCACACAATTCATTTTTTTGTGCACATTAGTATGTACTTCTTCGATTTTTTCAGGCTTATCCTCCATTAATAAGTTCGGAAGTCCCATATTGACTATCACGTGAATCCGATCGCTTTTTTTTAATATTTATTCGTCCAATTCCCTCGCCATCGACAATGGTTCTTGTTTTTTGTATATAATTCTTGATACAATCTATTATTATTTTATCTTATTTTACATTCTCGGAATAAATTCTTGGTTGTGCAAACCAAATAGAATCATGACTTTGAGTTTTACCAAGTTTGAAACCAAGCGGATGTATTTTTTGTCCCATAATCCCTCACTACTCTATATAAAATAATACGTCTGATTTGTCTACTTATATATATATATATATATATATATATATATATATATATATATATATATATATATATATATATATATATATATATATATATATATATATATATATATATATATATATATATATATATATATATATATATATATTAAAATATCTTGATATATCTTTTTTTCTACAAATCATTAGTTCTATTATAATAACCCTTTCAATTTTTGAATATTATTAATTACCATTCACGCTTTGTGTTGTGAATAGACAAAAATATTTTTTGAACAAATGGTTATATTTCTCTGTATTGGTTCTATTTTCACGAAAAAATAAAATCTGTTTTTTTATTGCAGAATAATACAATTATTGTTGAGTAATTTATTAATTAATATTTATTAATGACTATTACTAAATTTATGTTAAAATGAATGTTAACAACGAGATCTATTATCATTTTTCACAAAGCCTAGAAAGTTTCGAATAGGTGAAAATTCTCTCAATTTATGGCCTACCATACGATCTGTTATATAAATAGGTATTGTAGGTAGAATGGTAGATCTTCTGGATCAAGTTATTATTATTTCATTTTCTCCTTTTGTGTTAAGCTTATTTATTTTTCTTAATAAATGATTCGCTACAAAAGGATTTTTTTAGTGAACGTGTCATAGTTAATTATTACACTTATAATTTCTAAAAAAATGAAGTTTTTCTCTTATATTTTTTATTTTATTTCCAGTTTTAAAATATATAATCTCTTTTTAAAATATAGAATCTCTCGAAAAATAAAATCATATAATGTCATAGTAAATCGCTCTTTTCTTTTGTAAAGACGAAGAAACAAATTATATTTTCTCTACTATCCACTATTTACTATGGCGATGACGAATCAAATTATCACTATATTTATTCCTTTTTCTAGTTCTTCGTCCAAGTGCAGGATAACCCCAAGGAGTTGAGGGTTTTTTTCTACCAGTTAGGGTCATCCCTTCACCATCCCCATGTGGATGGTCTACAGGGTTCATAACTACCCCTCTTACTACAGGACGCTTTTCTCGCCAACGTTTAGCTCTGGCTCTACCCAAACTTTTCTGGTTCACCGCAACATTCCCCACTTGTCCGACTGTTGCTGAGCAGTTTTTTGATATCAAACGGACCTCTCCAAAAGGTAATTTTAATGTTACTGATTTACCCTCTTTTGCAATCAGTTTCGCTACAGCACTCGCTGCTCTAGCTAATTGTCCACCCTTTCCAAGTGTTATTTCTATGTTATGTATGGTTGTGCCTAAGTTCATATCGGTTGAAGTAGATTCGTCTTTTTGATCAACCAAAACCCCTTCCTAAACTATACAAGCTTCTTCCAAAGCATACGGCTTTCTAGATGTAGAGTAGAATATCTATACAGATACATCTTATATATAGTTTATTTTGTATATTATATATGACATGATGAAGTACCATACCTTTTGTACCCCAAAATTTTCCCTCTCATATTTCTCATTACATTTCAAGTGAGACCTTCAAATTGCTCAAGGAAGTCCATGGGTTGACCAGACAAACTCTCTCCTAAGGCAGTCTACCACAAATTAGGGTTTCATGTTGCATCAAGATACTTGAGTCCAAGGGATCCCAAATTCTCACCATTGTTCTAATATATTCTCAAGATCATCCATGTCAAGTTTCAAGCCTTGCAGAGGAAGTTTGCTCAATCAATTGCTCATAGGCCTGAAAATCGACTGTGCTAGGGCAAAAGTCAACTGTGGCCCACATACAGTCAAACTTCAAGATTTTTGGTCAAAATCCTCATTTTGAAGTATTATTCAACATTTTATCAAGGGTTGATCATGATTCATCAAGGATTTCTCACAATTCATCAAAACCCAAAAGTTGCTAAATTAGGGTTTTGTAGAAAAAGTCAACTCATTTTTGACCAAGCATAACTTTCTCATACTTTATGAGAAATGACCCATCCAAAGCTCATTTTTAAGAGGATGCAATTCCCTACAATACATCTTCATCTCCCAATTTCAAAATATGCACTCACAAGAAGTTATGAATTTGGACATTATAGATCATTTTGAAAAGTCAACAAAAACACCTTTTTTTCAAAGCTTCATACATGAACATGGAATACCAAATTGAGATGATACTAAAAGGGTTGCTTAGAGGACATCTCAGGATTTCTAAAAAGTCCAATAACACCTTCAAAGAGTCAAAATTGAGGAAGTTATGTATTGGTGAAGTTGACCCTTTTTGCAAAATTGTCAAAAGTCAAAAGTGCCTCAAATTGCAATTTTTGCTAAATGGGCCTGACTTTTGCACTTGTTTTGAGTTGGTAGAATGGTTCACTAGCCCTAGCTCTTCCCATTTGTCTTTATCTTTTTTTTATATTTATTTTGATTTTTATTTCAATTAAATCAATTTAAATTAAAACAAATCATGAAAAAAATCCAAAACACTCAAACTTCAAGATCTTGTACATATTTCAGGTCCTATATCCAGCTAGCAAAAGAATGAATTCGTGCAAGGCATAGGTGGGCACAAAAAGATTGGTTTTGGCCTATTTTGGAAATATTTTCAAGTGAATCAAATCAAGATCAAAAGCCATAATTGATAAAGATTGAATGGACTTTTGTAAACCTAATTCATTCCTTAGTATATAGTGAACATTTATAGCCAGAAAGAACAACGTTTTGAGGCGCACAAGGGGAGAACCAAACTTGAAAAAAACCAAAGAAAGTGGTGATCTGTTTTCGTATTTGCAGGTGCTTTCAAACCTTTCCAAGTATCCCTTTCGCTTCCTGAACACTCAAGGAACCTATACCAATCAAGAACAAGGATTTTCCTGCGCTAAAACCCAATGTAAGTGGTTCACGACTTTGAGTTTTTCTTGAAATCAAATTACATGATTTTGGTATTTATAGCATGAAATACTTATATGTTCTTGTTCCTTGAAACATTTGCAAGCTATCTATAACATTTAATTGCATTATTGTTAGCTGTACTGGAATCCACCATTGTTAGGGTTCCTTGTTGTGTTTTGGGTTTTTCTTATGCAGGCAAAATTGGCCCACGAGAAGGGCACCATAATGCTCAGTTGGCCAAGACGAATCCATCCACAGCATTAGAATTCATTTACCATGCTTGTATATGATTTTGCAATGCGCAAGGGTTGTAGCTACGGACATATGTCTGTAGGTAAAAGTCTATGACTTTTACCAACGGAGAGAGGACAGGGACGACATGCGTGGCTCCGTCTCATTCGTCCATTTGATTCTGGCACGTTTTTTTTCTTTTTCTTCACTAACTCCCTTTATTACATATTATTGTTTGTTATTATTTCATATACAACGCGCGCATGTAGCTCTGTTGGTGTCGAGGTGAGTGGAGAAGGCCACAGGACCTGGGTTCGAATCCCAGGTCCCCCAATATTTCATGTTATTTTTCTTTAATTGATCAGGCGTGCACACAAGGCAGGGAAATCACCATGTACCCTCAAGGCTCCACCATTGGATCTCCAGGTGGCCAGATCTAAAGGCCATCACATGAAGGACCATGATACACTCCAGTCAACAGGCATCATGGAATCTTGGAAAGTCAAACGTGGACCATTTGGTTTGGGCCTAGAATTGCTAAAGAAACCTCTCTAAATTGCTGATTGCAGGCCCATATTCTTTTCCTTTTCATTTATAATTTCTTTTATTTAATTTATATAATTATTTTTACTAACACCAAATTAATTCTTTTTATAAAAAAATCACAAAAATAATATTTTCATCCAATTAGATTTAGAATTTATTTTTTGTACAAATATAATTTAATTTGTTTATTTAATTTTAGGGTAACTTAAATTCTTTTGTAAATAAATTAAAAACAATTAGAAAATTAGGGTTTTAGTTTAATTTAATTCTATTTTCTTTTTCTTAAAAAAAATAACAAAATACAAAAATAGGTCATGTAAATTATTTTCTTTAATTTAATTTAATTGGTAATTTTGTACATATTTAATTCAAACTTTATTTTTCTTAAAAATAATCAAAACAACCACAAATAATTTTTTTTCTTTTAATTAGGTTAGACGGGGTCAAAACCCTAATTTCCCTTCGTCTCTATTCGCGTGCGCTTTATTTATTTTTACAATATTGATGTAATTTCTCACAAGTTGTAATAGATTAATTAGGATTTTTCTCCTTTTCATTTATCGTTTTGACGGGTTGTTTTTGGCTATGTAATTAATACCCGAAGCCTTGTAATAGCGTAGCTTTACTTTCCGCACTTTAAATTCCGCAAACATTAAACTGTTAGATGTATGAATAATAGGGATGCATGATAAGAATGTATGTAAACTTTAAAACGGTTAGCTAACCCTAAATTTACAAAGATAATAAACTTGAAATTGAATCACTCGCACATGCACACTCCTAGGTTATACTCTCACTTCGGTTGCCTTCGGTAAACGATCATTAAGTATAGGGTATTTTAGTGGTAGCCCTCTTGTCTAAACAAAAGATCAAAGTCCCGTTCGGAAAAGTTTCCTCGGATATGTTGCCTCGAATATTGATCTTAGGATATTAGGGTTATTACTAAGACGTCCTAACATTGCTTTAGTGATCATATGTCCCTTTCGAATTGACCCTTATAACTCCAACGACAATGCTACCTACTCACTAATAGTAGGATAGCACTGTCTAAAGGAAACGAACATAGAACAATTCTTTTTTTCGAGTAGGTAGATAACTGTTAGGTACTTGCTCAA